TAAATTTATCACGTCCTTACTGTTGGTAGGGGTGGGGAAAGGGAGGAGATAATCGTGAGCGATTGACATCTTTTTTTTGATCAAATGCTCTTAGTTTCACGTTATAAAAATTAATTAAGATTTTCTATTCTTGACCACAATTTTCTCCGAAACGACCAACCTAACCTCAAAATCTTTACGATATGGATTTGTATATTTATAGAAGGTTATTGATTGTACTTTTTATAAAAAGTACAATCAATAACCTTCTATACATAAAATAAATTGTTAGAAGATTTGTAAATTTACTAATCTTCATATATTTTATTCACTAATACATTTTGATAATTTTTTTTTTATAAAGTAAGTGTTCAATAATTCTTTTTGGAATTTTATGTTTTGCTTACATAAACTTTATATATTTTATTCACTAATATATATACTAATAATTCTTCAAGTTAGTCGAGTTTCCTAAAACGTCTTACAAAATTTTTTATGAATATAATTTGCGAATAATATATTAACAAGTATAATTGAACATGGGCTACGGCATGGGGGTATATATACATTGGCTACGTCATGGGGGAGGGGTCAAGGTGGCATTTTGCCTCCCCCTCTATCAGAATTTGTAGTAAGGACGATTATTTTTTTTTATAAAGAAAGTGTTTAATAGTTCGTTTTGGAATTTTATGTTTTGCTTACATAAAATATTTAGTTAACATTCAAGGCAGTGCACAGTGGGCCAGCAGTGAGCAAAAATTAAAAAAATGAGCAAAGCCAACCTTTAACAATTCAAAAATTTTTAAACTTTTTTGAAAGTGAGTAACCTGAAGAAAATTTAAATGGTTGTAAAATTATGTTTTAGTAAATAGAATTATTGTTAAATTGATTTTATAATGTTAATATTGTTAAATTGATTTTATATGTAGTTATTAATTTTGATCACTTTTTCATGTTTCTGGCCCACTGTGCAGTGGACCTAAAATCATTTTGTTAAAAAATCACTAAAGGGCAAATGTTTTCAAGCATTTAAACAAAGGCGATCTTTTTTATTATTTTCAAAAGATGTCACTAATATTTCTAAGATACAACACGTTATCTATGATAAAAACAACATTGTTGTTGCAAATGATAAATAACATTATTTACAACTGCCTTACTTGGATTTGATTTACAATTTAAGCGGATAAAGAAGCTTGAAAATAAGTGAAGTTTGAACTGTATTTTATAAAGTGCACCACCGCTTTTGTGAAATATTATGTTCATAGTTTTGTCATTAACATGGATTTGTGAGTTTTATCATACTTCGCTTTAACGCGTTGCAACGCGTAAAATTAAAATATGATAAAGTTCGGGTATAATGTGACTCTTCGTTCACATTTTCATGTTAACGACTATAAAGTTAAATACATTTGCATGATATTTCATAAAATTGGTGGTGCACTTCATAAAATAGAGTTCAAATTTTACTTATTTAGGGTTTGAGCTATTACTGAAAAATTTTCAGAATTTTTTTTTTGCTCATTGTTATAAGTTTAACGTCATGGCTCCCGGCCCTAAATGAGAAAAATGTTTCTTTTTAGATTTTTACATATATTCTTGATATTTATAAATGTAAATGAATCTTTACTCTGACAGTTTGAAAAAGGTTTTTTTCTTTAACTTGAGTTAATTTTTGTAGTTTTAACAGAGTTTTTTTTTACTCTTGGCCCAATTTGCTCCAAAATGGGAAAACGGGCTTTGTGTATTTTTACATTTTTACCTTATTGTCCTGAATGGGCGATTGGGCCAAGAACAATCAAAGTTCTGTAGAAGAAATTAGACCTAATATTTTTACCTATTTTCTTGTTATTTATAAATGTTAATGAATTTGTTTACCCTGACCGTTTGAAAAAAACTCTATTTCTTTATCTAAAGTTAATTTTTACGGTTTAAACGAAGCTTTTATAGCTTTTGATCCAATGTCCCAAATGGGTATACGAGGAGTGGAATTCTTACCTAGGGGCCCCTAATATGAGAATGATAATTTGTAGAATTGAATGCTTTAGTAAAAAAGAAAACAAAAATTTAATTCAGCATAAGTACTTCAATGAAATTCCTTCTCGATAGCATATGAAAAATAAGTTTGTTATCAAAATTTAGTGCCATAATTCCTTAAGAAAAACTCAACAAATCTTGACACAAAATAGGCGTTATTGAGCCCAACATAGATTGTCATAACTTGGGAACCAGTTATCCAAATTTAAAAAATGAACACATTCTGAAAGCTTCTTCATTATCCGCATATAATGGTATTAGTTATAACAAGAGATAATTGTAATAGTAAAATCGTGTGAAGTGCCTACTGTAAATAAAATCATAAAATTTTGTTTTGAATCGTTTTATAAATAGCCAACAACACAACATTCAATATTTTTTGTTCTACTAATAGATCTTTTTGTTTATATTACACAATTATACAGTGTAATTACTACACTTTAATTAAAAACCGCAAAAAACTGCCGTCTATTTACTCTGCTTTTGGAATTTTTAAACCTATTATTAAAATTCACCTTTTCGGAAAGTCCTTTTTCGATTTTATTCCTTTTTTCACAGTTTTGATATAATTCCGGAAAGTCCCGTTTCGATATTGTTCTTTTTTTTACAATTTCGATCTAATTCCGTTTTTTGAAATTTCGATACTATTCCTTTATTCACACTTTCGATATTGTTCCGGTAAGTCTTTTTTCAATATTATTCTCTTTTGAGCTGTTTCGAGGTTATTCTGCTTTTAGGATTTTCGATACTAATCCTTTTTTAACAAATTCGAAATGTTTTCTTTTTCGATATTATTCCGAAAAGTCGCTTTTCGATATTATTCCTTTTTTCACAATTTCGAGGTTATTCTATTTTTCGGATTTTCGATACAATTCCTTTTTTTACAATTTCGATAATATTCTCTATTTCGATGTTATTCTGGAAATTCCGTTTTCAAGATTAATCAGTTTGGCTGTTTTCGATACTGTTACTGCTACCCGTCGTGTCCGCTTTTTTTGTTATTCAGGCAATTTTTTACATGCATTTTCTTTGCACAAGCCAAATTTCAGCAAAAAATAATTGGGAGCAGATAGTTTAAGAAGTGGGGCCGTATTTTCTTCGCATGTTATTCTTAAGATAAAAAAAAATCTCTTCACAAGGATTTAAAAATGGTGAATATGGTGGTAAATATTTTATTTGAATGTTCTGAACCCTCATCTCAACATTATGATGGATTCTGACATTATCCATCACCAGGGTGAATTCTTCCTCTGTCCCCAAAACTCGTACAACTTCATCAATATATTCTTGAAACAAAACTGTGATGACTGACACACTAACAGCTTCGCAGTGAATAATATTTAAACCATTGACGGCCAATATCATCGAAACGTTACGCTGCCTAGGGCGAATGATCGGGTTTGGTGTTACTCCTCTTCTTGCCCATGAATCACTGCGAAACATGTGTAAATTAAATGGACTTTCATCAATAAAAACAATATTTCGATAGCGATTAATAGGCGATATTGAAGTATACCACCTAACATATTCAATACGAAGATTTTTTACATCATTGTCGTTTCTTCTTTCATAAATTGGTCGAGTAATTTTATATGTGTATCCAAGATTGGTCACCCATCTCCAGACAGTTTTAATCGATACATTTACATTTAAAGCATTTTTAATTTCAATTATAGTTGTTGTTGTGTTATCGTTTATAAGTTCTTCAATTCTTCTTCTAATCTCTTCATTATAAATAACGTGACGAGCGCCACCTCTAGAACCAGGAAGTGTTGAATTCGTTCGATCGTACCTTGTTAAAATTGATTGTATTGTGTTTCGATTAACTCCTGTTAACGATGAAGCTTCAGATTGAGTTTTTCCTCGATCAACGACTAGATTTACCACAAGATCTCGCATGTTTTGGGAAACGGAATTTCGCGGCATGAAGATTTAGACTGACTTTTTCTTCGATCAACAACCAATCTCAAAATAAATTTTCGTATATTTTGGCAAACAGAATTTCGCTGCATGTTTTAATGAAAATCTAATATCCTCATGCGCTAAATATTTTAATAGGAAATCATGGTTGTTTTAATTATCATCATGCATGTTTTAATTGAACATCATGGTTGTTTTGCCAATACAGTATGTGTATAAAAAATATGTAAAAAAATATGGTTTTGCATCCAGTTAAAACATACATGACATCCATTTAAATTTAAAATAAATTCCATTACATTAAAATAAATTAATATAATATTAATAAAAGTAAATTAATATAATATTAGATAAATAAATAAATAAAGAAAACTTTTTTTTTTAAATAATATAAAATGTTGAGATTGCACATGCGTTAAATGTTTTAATTGAAAAGCACATTGTTTTAATTGATTGTCGCGGTGTTTTAAATGAATGTCATGGTTGTTTTAAATGGTTGTCATGATTGTTTTAAATGGATGTAAAAACCGGTAAACTATATATACCAATATTGGTAATATATACCAATGATGGTATATATTAAAAAAGATTAGGATTTAAGATTAAACTGTTACTTTGGAATATTTTATTAACTATTAGTATCAGATACCAATGTTGTTAATACACCATATATATATAAAAATATACAAACGACATTATTATACTTTAAAGTAAAACATTATTGGCTTAAGCCAATAAAGTTTTTGACAAAATATTTTTATAATAATAAGTTTATTTTTGTAAAAATATCAAGATACTTTTACAATAATAAGTTTATTCTCAAAATACCTTGTTAGTGTTTTTCTAATATACAGTAATATACTTTTAGAATACAGTAATATAATTTGTTTTTTATTATTTTTTCATACCTTTTTTTTGTTAGTAAAGTTGTTGTACGTAAAGCAGAACTGATTTAATAACTGTTATTTTTATTGACTGTTAACAATTTCAAGATGTTTTTTTTTGATTATGCAATTTTTTTGTTATCTTAAGTCCAATATGCACAGACTACAGCTGGTAAGTTATTATAGCATAACTTTTATTAACCATTAAAGAAATATAAATAAATAGATTTATTTCCTACTTATTTAATTATTACTTGTCGTGTATGGATTTCCCATTTGCTGCAATTTTTTAATTTTAGTATCTACCTTTTGTGCTACACCTGGTAAGTTAAACAACTCATACTTTTTAATGTGCAAACTTTACAATATGTTTAACTTTAGTTCCTTAGTCATGTGCTGCAACTAGTAATTTAAAAAACTATTACATTTTATGTGTATGCATTTCTCGTTATTTAAAATATTGATTTTTTGTTACAACTTTGTAATTTTAGTATCTACCTCTTGTGCTACACCTGGTAAGTTAAACAACTCTTTTTAATGCGCACAAATTTCTCATTGATTGTAATATTGATTTTTATAATATATTTTTTAACTTTAGTTCTTTCTACGTGTGCTACGCCTGGTAAGTTTCAAAACCTTTTTTTATTTAACATGTGTATGGATTTATTATCAATTGCATATTCTTTTTTGCAATTGCATTTCTTATCAATTGGTTTTTAATTAAAACCTTTTTTATATAGTTACATCTTCAGCTGCCATGTCAAGTAAGTTTAAAAATTATTACTTTTTAGACTATGAATGCATTTATTACCATTTGCAATTTGTATTTTTTATTAAAACAAATTTTACTTTTAGTTCCATCTGTACCACCTTCAAACGGTAAATTTATGAATCTGGAATGTCTCTGATTGATTATTGAGTTCCTCTTATTCCTATTTATATCATCTATTTAATACTTTCGTGTTTTGTTATCTCTCCAAGTGCTATAAAAGGAGAATCAGAAGCTTATACATATTTTTTTATTAAAAATTTCATTGATTCATTAATCATTCTTTATATTTATTTAGACAAATTGTATTAGTATTTATTTTAAATTTTATAATTTTTAATTGCATGAATTACAAATACATTAATATTTTATTTGTTTTTAGAGCTTATATATGAAGCTTATAGGTCATTTCGAACTTAAAATTAAAATCATTTACTAAAAGCCAAGACAGAGTAATTACTATGTTTCAAAACATTTTTATTTTTTGTTTTTTTATTAGGTTGGTGGGTTAAATATGATCATTTAAATGAGAAAATATATACTAGTGCAACTTGTAATCTGGTAAAACAATTATGTATTGTGCTTTCTCTTTTTTAATAATTGCATGTAAAAATGTTGAAAATGTCATTTCTGTGTTTTCTTTTTTATGTTGGTTGAGTGGAAGGGGGAAAACCATCCCTCTCCTCAAGTTGTACATCACTAATGTATGTTCTATAGTAAAAAAATATTGCTTAATGTAATACAACAATAATTTCAATACTAATGTATGTTGTATAGTTATAAAAGATTGTTTTTTGTCAGGTGGGGGGAGGGGGGATGTGGTGCATCATACATCCTTTATTTCAAGTCAATGTGTACATCAATAATATATGTTGAATAGTAATAAAAGATTATTTTTAACTTTTAACAATGCATTTAATTATTGTAATAAAGATAAAATTGTTTTTATTTTTATGAGTCGGGGGGGGGGGGCGGGGCGCCCTCCCCTAAACTTAGTGTTGTTCATCACTAATGTATGTTTTATAGTAAAAAAAAAATATTTTTACTTTTTAACAAAATGTTTAATTACTGTAAAAAAGATTAAATTATTTATTAGAAAGTATGATTATTGTATTTAGGGTGTTATAACATCATAACCACATCTATGGCCAACTCTAAGATCACCTTATTTTGTTTGGCAGTGTTTTGGAATCAAGTTATGGCAATATTTTGTGTATAAAATATAACAATAACATTTAAAAAGTGCTTATTTCTGACAAAAACTTGTATTTTCTTAAGGGTTAGATGATGTTTCATTACCCCCTCTGGTTTCCATCTTACACCCTACATCCAGGCACCAAAATGCACCTATCTTGTGATACCAAGATATAGGTATTTGGATAAAAATTGACAAAGTTATAACAATGAAAAAAAAAATGAATTATGAAAAAAATTATGAAATGAATTATGAAATGAATTATGAAATGAATTATGAAATGAAATGAATTATGAAAAAAATTATGAAATGAATTATGAAAAAAAAAAAATTATTATGACCACAGTTTCTTCAATAATTCCATATATCTAAAATTTGCTACTAAAAATATTATAACTTTTTTTAGAATTGTTTGTTTTTAATAATTTTTTCACCTTTAAAATACTGTATTGAAGGCTTTTCTAATGATATATAACATTCTACTATATCATCAATATAAAAATTTCAGTGCGCGTACCTAATATATATGTGTGTGTGTATATAACACATACTAATATATACTAGTATGTGTTATACACACACACACACACACACACACACACATTGTATTAGTATGTGTTATAACACATACTAATACACAGCTATAAAATATAACTTATATGTTTTTTAAGATCATTGAGCGCTCTATTTGTAAATAATAACACTAACATAATTTTTATATACAATATATATATATATATACATATATATATCTTTTTTTTTTTTTTTTTTTTTTATGTTGATTTTAGGTGCCCCAAGAAGTCCTTACGGTCTTATCACAGAGCATCGCGGAAAAGCATTTAATAGGAAATTCACGCCTCCTTCCCAACCGATGTCGCAAAATTTGCCCAGAGGTGGGGTTTGAACCACGGATCTTACGTTTCTGAGGCAAGTGTGCTACCACTGCGCCACGGCTGCTTAATATGCTATAGTAGTACAATAGTATATATATATATATATATATATATATATATATATATATATATATATATATATATATATATATATATATATATATATATATATATATATATATATATATATATATATATATATATATATATATATATATATATATATATATATATATATATATATATATATATATATATATATATGAAGAGTTTATTTTCAAAACGCGGTAAACGCCATTTTAAAAATTTTTGAGAAATTGTGTGGTTTATTTTTAGTTTATAAGGACCTAGCAGACATTGTGTCCGAGTATATGCTAAACGAAGTATAACCCAAATTATTTTTACTTCTAAAAAACATTTATTTTCAAAACGCGGTATAAAATTTTTTATTTGTTTTCAAAATGCGGTATTTAATTTTGACCAATCCGTGGCAAATGTATATTACTTCTGCGCAAGCGCAAATATTTTAAAGTTGCGTTAAAGAAATGACGGATTGCGATGGACAAGATTAATGCGTTACCTAATATCCTATTTCACATAAATAAAAAATATGATGTATGAAACAAAAGAAAAGAAAAGCATTTCTTAATTCTAGTGTTCGTTTAAACTACCATGCTTTGCTTGTTTAACTGAACGAATTATGGAATAATGATAGAAAATATATTAAAAAGGCAGCTTAAATTAATAAGTTTAAACATATTGTTACCTGTTTTTTAATGGAAAGCATTCAATAATAATACTTCCTTTTTATTTTTTGTTAAACGACGACGATTGCTTTGTTGCAAATAAAATGAGGCTATAGCAGTCTTTCATTTTTAAAATTTTATTTCGTTCAAAAATATAACGATGACTTTTATGTTATATTAATTGTCCATTAGTTCTATGGAGACTTAAAAATAGTGATCATCATTGTTACAACTACACAACACTAAAAAAATACTATTGTTTATTCTCCATATTTAACTCTCCGAAACAAATATAAATTTACAATTGCGAATTGTGAAATGTAATAGTTTACATTACTTTAATAAAACATTGTTTACATTCACATTATCAATAAAATATAATGACCAAACATTAAATACACATATTTGTTCAATATGTTAAATAAAATTAATCATTAAAACTTATTCAGAACTTTTAAAGTTTAAAAACTTTCCATAACATCTTTATAAAATGGATATACCGCATTTTGCTAACAAGCTTTAATTGGGATATACAGTATTTTGAAAATAAATGCAAACTTATTGACAAAAAAAATAAATTTTTCTATTAAATAATATTTTATTTTTTAACATTGTATAATATACTTTATGTATATATACATTAAGAAACAATAATTTTTCCAAATATACGAGACATGTTGGTGTGGCGAAAAAAGTCAATTATCTCAATACCACAAAAATGGATATACCGCATTTTGAAAATGCACTCTTCATATATATATATATATATATATATATATATATATATATATATATATATATATATATATATATATATATATATATATATATATATATATATATATATATATATATATATATATATATATATATATATATGTATATATATATATATATATATATATATATATATATATTGTATATATATATATATATTGTATATATATATATATATATATATATATATATATATATATATATATATATATATATATATATATATATATATTGACCTGTCTAGATTTTATGTAACCTGATATTTGCTGACCATGACGTTGTTGCTTTTTGCAGTATCGGGACAAACTTTTTTCAGGGATATTAAAGTCTTTGGCTGTTTTTCGTTTTGATTTTCCTTCTGCATCAACAGCATTTTTTATAACATTTTGAGGAGTTATAGCCCTCTTTGTTTTTCTTTTATAGTTTCGCATGTAATATATGTGATCTATCTATCTAATCGATTTTTAAAAAAGTTATAGAAAAAGTTGAAATTTATGTTCAATCGCAACCGGGTTTAGTTGATATATATGGCCAACTTGCCCCGCCAAAATTTTGCCAACTAACCCCGACAGCTATTTGGTCACAAACTCCCCTACCGATCCCTGAAAAACGTATATAAATAAAAAATAATGGTTGGACAGATTTTACTGAACCATGCAAGATATAACTCAAATCAAGTTTACATGTACTTGATAAAATTACTTTTAAAAATCGAAAAAATAAAGAAGTTGTAAAAGTTACAAAAATGTGGAAAAAACACATAAATCACAATATCTTTTATGCGCATGCGCAAATCCCAACAATACTGCAGTGAAAGATGAAATGGTCAACTAAGAAGGTTTCCTGAAATTATTGGCACTTTTTGATGAAACACTTTGCAGATAAACGCAACTCGTCAAATTACCCCTGCTGCCAACTAGCCCTGGTCTCCCCTATAAAAATATTGGTTTTTTGCATTTATAAAATGCGTAAAAATTGTTTTTTTTTTTTCATTCATATATATATATATAAATATATATATATATAAATATATATATATATATATATATATATATATATATATATATATATATATATATATATATATATATATATATATATATATATATATATATATATATATATATATATATATATGTGCAAAAGTTAAAATCATTTTTCTTTCACTTATGTATAAAATTAACATAGGGTTTACTAAACATCACCTTTATTTAGTTATTAAAGTTATTGAATTTTCAACAATTTTAAAAAAACGTTGTCAAAAAAATTAATTTTGGCCTTATTTTAAGTTATTTCTGATCATTGTGCCTTGGGAAGTTGATTTAATATAAATAGTATTGGAAAATTTAATATAAATAGTAATAGGAAAATTTAATATAAATAGTATTGATAGTATACTTAAATGGGCGTGAAAGAAAATAAAATAAAAAATAAAATACACAAAAATAAAAAGCAGCTTAAAACAAAAAATTATAAACAAATTTATTTTTTTTGTTGTTTATTATTATTATTTTTTTGATTTGATTAAATATAATTAATTCCTCAGTAGTTTGTATGGCTTTTTTCTTTGTTTACTTGAATTGTCAACAGTTATGCGCGATTTTTATCTAAGCGCCGTAATTTCCCATTTACGGTATGCGGATATAATAACTAAATACATAAAAAAAGTATTATAATAATAATGAAAAAATAAAAACATAACAAACAAATTATTTCAAGGAAAAGATGTTATTATATAAAGTGTTTGGTTTTATATAATGACGGTTGTACCCTATTTAAAGAGATAGCTCAACTTTTTTATAGCATAGATAACTTCAAAAATAAATTTCTAATAAGTTTGGAGTTCTCACTGTTAGCTGACTAAAAACTACAAGCGTATACTCTTTATAAAAAATTAGTTAAATTTCTTAAATGCTTTGGGTTTGATAAAGTTGGTTTAAAAATTAGAAAAAACATATTCTTTATTCCGAATTTTATTCGCTTTTTAAAATTAGAAAACAACATCTTTACTGTTTATAAACTTGTTGGCTGAAGTAGTTTTACTCAGTTTCGGTTTTAGTTTATTGGTTAAATTATATAAAAAAAAAAGAGTTATTTAACTTTAACCAATACTTATTTCGGAATCAGGCAAATGACGGTATTTATGACTTAATACATACACGTATATAAAAACAAATTAGCTAGCTGTCAATTAGCAACTTATAATAACTGGTCATACAAAAAAGGAAAAATTACAAAAAAGTTATTTATATGAACTTTATTTAACTGTATTCAAAATATAAAGCAGTTATAAACAAAAGTTATTAGTCATATAAGCTATGAGAAAGCAATCTTTTATTTTATAAATAAAATAAAATTATTCCAAAAATAAATTCTAGCATAAATCTTCTCAACAAAAAATAAATTATAGTTTTTACAAACTTTTATGAACTATCGTTACAAACTTTTTCAATGAAGTTTAATAACTTTTCTTGAGGCTTTTCTAATTTAACGAGAAAAGTGTGGTTGCCTTCGGTTCGATACGTTGCGGACCTGAAACAACAATCGTTATTTTTAGTGTCATTTCCATGGTAGCTACACAAATAAACATCCAAATTGCGAATTATATCGTGGGCTTTTCGAAATCGCTTCAAGGCATATCTCATAACAATGTTTTGAGTGGAATAATTGAGTGATAGAAACTCAGCTGTGTCTTCAAATCCGTCAGTCTGACTAAGCTTTTGACAGGAATCTAGAAAAACGTAATCAAGTTTATACTGTTGTGCAAGCTGAATAGCAATAACTCTGTTAAACGTTAACGACCGAAGTAAATGTTTTTCACACATTCGTAGTATTCTTTTGACTTTAAACTGCTTTGCAAGTTGTAGCAATGACGCTACGTTCATATCTAAACACGATGAATAGAATTTACTTAAGAACACAAGAAGTAACATAAACACTTTTTATTTTATGAAAAATTATGGAAATTAAATGAACTAAAATTAAGGAAATCTTCTTAAATAAACATTCACCCGTCACATCTTCTTGATTAGCATTATAAATAAACGTAAGAACTGTACGAATTTCATCTACTTCAAATCCTTTTAACACAATTGTATTATGGTATTTTTCATCCATTCGATCGACTATGTCGCAAAAAAATCCTGACACATAAGCAACAAATTGGCGTTGAATGGGAAACAATGTTTTGTCTACCTGCACCAAGGTATCGCAATCAATAATGTCCCAGGGGACATTTTCTAAATTACCTTGCAACTTGTTAATCTGATTTTGAATACTCTCTGAAAGTTTACGTGAGAGAACTTCTTTTGAATTGTTTTTATTTAACTGTTCGACATCAACAACTATATCATTCTTTAAAAGAGAAAGACTCTGATCCTCTAGATCATCTTTGATCATCTGATCATCCAGCCCTGAATCACAGCTATTACTAAGCCAGTTAAGAACTTTTACCGAAACTGTTTCTTTATTCATATTTTCGTCGCAAAAAAACTCGTTACACTGACGAAGAAAACTCATCTTTACTTAAAAACCAATACAGAAAACCATTTCACTTTATCTAAAATAACAATAATATTTTATATGAAATAAAATCAACAAAAAAAAAGTTGAAAAATTTATAATAATTAAAGTTGTAATTTTATTTGTAGTCGTAATGTTGAAGTCGTACTATAGTATTTTAGTTGTATTTAAAATTTGTTTTTGTTGTAGTTGTGTAGTTGTGTAGTTGTAGTTGTGTAGTTGTGTTGTTGTAGTTACGTAGAAAAGTTGAAGTTCAAAACTTAAAACAGAAACGAACAATAAAATATTGACAAAAATAATTGAAACCAATATCTTTTCTACTTTGACAATTGCAAGTCCGAAAAACGCGGAAGTTGTATAAAAAAAATCTTTCAATAAAATAGAAAATCTTTCTAAATTACAAACTCAAACAACATCTCTGTTTGAGATGTCTCTACAATTCTTTGAATACTAGGTAGCATACTTTAAGATGATTTTCTTATAATGTACAAATTAAAAAAATATTAACATTGTTTAGGTTACTTAATTAATATAATATTTCTTTTATATTGAAAAAACCACGTGTATAATTTCAACCGCCGCATAAAAGATTTATGGTGTTTTTCCGACTTTAATTTTAATTATGTAATTTTTATGCTTATAGTCTAGAATAGTTTTCGAATTAATTATAGCTTTAATTAACTTTTAATCACGTTTTAAAAAAGTATTATTATTAGAAACATATTACGTCATAAAAATGCTTCCCAGAGAAGGGGGAGGCAAATTCTTATAAACTGCCGAATGCTTTCTAAGAAAAAAAAGTTGAAAATTAAATTTATAATAATTAAAAATTAATTATAAGTTAATAAGTCCTTTTTATAGGGAGGTCAGAGGTGACACCCACACACACTTTTAAAATCGCCCATTAGTACTTCAAAAAGATAAGTTACTTTTAATAGAACCACTGCTACAGAACCTTTAACAAAGAAATTTTCTTTGTTATTTTTACCAATGCCGCTTTCATTGCCAGAGCAGACATTAAACACTGCCAGAGTAGACAAGCCAGAGCAGACAAGTCTTAAACATTTTGATACTAAAGCTAGCTCTAACCACTGTGCTTACCAGTAATACTACTAGTGTCTAACTACTGTGTCAGGGCTGCACATATATCTTATTTATCTTTGAACCTTACTTCAACGATAAATAATATATACGAGCAGCCCAGTCTTTAAAATTTATTTAACTTTTTATTCCTTATCTTAATTCAGGTTCCTAAGATAGTATAACCTCTTTTAGGAGAAAACTACTGATTTTTTTGCAAATTTAATTGGTTATAACCAATTAAATTCGCAAAAAAATCAGTAGTCTTGTTTCGTTCAGACGTAATTAAAAAATATTGAATAATAAAAAGTTATAACAAGGATGTTTTTTAAAGTTTATAAAGTTTTTTAACAATAAAACAATGATAGGATATTAACTATACAACCAAGAAATCAAAATAAATAACACCGTCGAATTTGTATGAATATACTTATAAGTATATTGATACAAAATCTACGGTGTTATTTATTTTGATTTCTTGGTTGTATAGTTAATATCCTATCATTGTTTTATTGTTAAAAAAGTTTACCATCCTTGTTCTAACTTTTTATTATTCAATATTTTTTAATTACGTCTGAACAAAACAAGATCATCAAAAATTTATTATAGTCTCAATATTTTATGCTTATCTAATGCTAACTCAAGGGGCTATATGAGATAATACATAAGCTGTTGTTGTGCTATTTAAATGATGGTTAAATTCTCTACGGAGCTTTATTATTAGTATTTCTAAAGTGAAAGTTTTTTCAAAACTTTTCGCACAAGTTAGGCAAACTGTTTTAGAGATGGGAAAGATTTCTGAGAGGAAAGATTTAATAATGAGAGAAAAGATTTATTTAATTTTTTTTTTTTTTTTATATAGTTTTCATGTATTACTTTTTACTTTAGAAAGATGCAATTTAATTTAATTTTATTTTTATGAATATTTCTTTGCTATTTTGAGTTTTTTTGAGTTCCATTAAAAAAAGCTCATCTTGGGAAGCTGGTATCCTAAGATGAGATAATTGGGTGTGTTGACAATTTTTTAATGAACTATTCATCTATATTTTTTAAAAGGAAAGACTAAATTATGATAATCTGAAAAAATAACTACAAGTATTATAACTTTTCGGCTGCAAAAAACAATGCAACGTTAACATGCTCAACATATACAACCTTCCGCTATGTTTTTGTTTATATCAAATGTAGGGGCGGATTTAAGATTTTTTGCCATTTGAGTATTATATTTTCCAGGTAAGTTCTAAACTAAAGATTTTTGTATTTTTACACTTTAGTCATTATAGGACGGTTTGCCAAAAGTTGCGCTGATTAAAGCGTGGGAATAAAAAAAACTAAAATGTAGGCATCACCCGCCCAAATGTGGGGGAAATTGTTTTTTCTAAATATAAATTCTAATATCCTAAATTAGGTGATAATATCGTTAAGGTTCTAAATTTTTTTGAAAAATATTATGTTGTTTAGAAATTATACCTAGTTTAAATTTACAAAACCCTCGTGTTGTGGGGGCTCTAAACTTTAAATTGCTATAACTTTTGAAGTCTTAATTTAATCTGATTTTTTGATCAAACTTTAAATATAGATACACATTTGAATTTTATTAAAGGAAGTAAATTCTCTTTTTCGAAAAATCATTTCCCCTCTCATTTAGGTGGGTGATGCTTACTATTTAGGGTATTTTTGTTCCCAGACTCTAATCAACGCAACTTTCGGCAAAGCATTCTTAAATTATATGTGTTAGCATAAAAAAGTTTGAAAATTAGAACTTACCTGAAAATTATTTATGTTTAATACTACTGTTTAATATGACTTGTGTTACTAAGAAAGTAAAATTAAAAAACCAGGCCCGTACCGTGGGGGAGGGGGGTCGTTGGGTGCGATCGACCCCCTTTTTATGCAAAGTGCCTTTTTTAATTTGACGCCAAACATCATTTCTAGACTCTTTTCGATGTCAAAATTTTCATGATAATTATTTGATTTTTATAAACCATTCTCATGAAACAATTTTTACTTAATTGTTTCGTAACGTAAGGCGTCATTACAAGTCATTGCATGGTGAAATCTTATGTAAACGAAAAATGAAAAATAGTCTCTCCAGACTTTATACTGTAGTTACAATTCTCTACTAATACTAATTCACTTTTAAAAGCAAACGATAGAGTTAACATGCCTAACCAAATTAGGAAACGAGCAGCTGATAGAAAAGAGCTTCAAAATACTGCAAAGAAATGCAAATCGTTAGCTGGATATTTTAAGAAAAACAGTTATTTTGATCTTTTTTTTATAATAATTAATTTGATTAGTTCGATATTAACTAGATATAGATATTAACTAGATATAGATAAAAATATTATCTATACTTTAAATTTTTTTATGATAGTACTTTTGTTATTACTTGTTTTTTATTGTGATACTTACGTGAGTTTTTTTTAATTTTGGTATAGTATAAGATCTGAAAGTTTATTATTAATTACTTACGTTTCAAGTGTTTTTTTTATCGACAGTTCTCAAGATGTAACCAATAAAACATTACCCGAAGTAGAAGAAAAAGAGGAAGTCATTAAAGATAATAGTAATGTTAACAAAAGCTTGTCATGTGAAGTAGACCAAACAAATTTAAAAGAATGTGATTTTATAGAAGAAAAATGATATGATATTGACGAAATCTTGCGCGGAAATCAAGAATTATCACCACATGAAATATACAAAATGTTTATATTTTTATGCCTATATTTTAAATTATAATGTTTATATTTTAAAAGGATCACAAAAAGCTATTGTAACACATTGTAACTCACATAATTTGAATTTATCAATTGTTGCAACATCAAAAATAACAATCATTGAAAACATTTTGGAGGTATACAGAAACATATCCATCTATTTCAATACCTCTCCAAAAAGAGAGCGCTTGCAGGAGCATGTTGCAGAGATCCGTTGTAAATCAACTGAAAGAAAAAGGATTTTAATAGGGATGTGCAAAACAAGATGGTCAGAAAAAGATGCTGCATATGAACACTTTTATTTAGCTATACCATTTATGGCAGAGGCATTAGAGACTATTTTAGGAATACAATCTAATATAGAACAGTTCAATATAGAGTTTAGCATGAATTAGGACGCACAAGGAAAAAGAGAGGCCAAATCACTTCTTAATGCACTCACTAAGTTCGAATTAATGTTGGTATTATAACTTTGTAGCGCTTACTTCACCCCTCTCTGCTATATACGACAACCCGTTGTCGTATATAGCAGAGAGGTTACAAGGTCGCACAACTGATATTGTGTATGCATACAGTAACATTCAAGAAACAATTGACAATTTGAAACATCTACGGAAAAATGTTGAAAAAGAAACTTACTCAATTACTAATACTCTAGCTAAAGCCATTAAAGACTGCAATGAAAATCAATATCCTAATCTCTTTGAGATTCTAAAGATCAGATGTACACTACCCGTAACGTCCGCAGAATGTGAACGCAGCTTTTCAGCAATGCGAAGATTAAGAACATGGTTGAGAGCCAGTATGATGGCAGATAGACTTGGTTCATTAGTCATCATTAATATCCACTACAATGAAATTGTTGATTATAAACGTCTCAAAATTATTTTTTAATAATTTTGAGACTTGTTTAATCCATGCCGTATTACTACGCAAACTTAAAGTGATTTCCAAATGTCGATGCCGTAATATTACGGTTTTATGCATCTCATATTTCTTTCTTGTTCATCAGCAATTATACGTCTACTTATCACAAAAATTATTACTACATAATTACAGAGCTTTTGTTTCAATAATTCACTTTTAAATGTGTTTACTTTAATTTTAATTATGACAAATAAGGAAGTTCTTTCGGTGCAAAAATAAATATCAAAAAGTAAATATTTACTTATAAAAAGATAGAAAATTATACATTTGGGTTTGCGAATTGCAAACCGCGAAATGCAAACTGGTAAAATGCGAACTTTTTTGCGAACCAAGACA